GTATCTGCTGTGTATACATCACTATGATCATTCTGGACAATATAATTTGAGAAGTGTGCGTGTGTGTGTGCGTGCATGTGTGCATGCGTGTGTGTGTGTGTGGAGTGGCAGAGGTGAGCAGAAAAAATAAAGGCAAAAGCTCCAACATGGAGCCTCAATTCCATTTCACCTGAGGCATTGTGATTATCAAGTATTTTGTTTCAATTCGCTAAGTTCAGAATGGCTCAGAGCTGATTAAGAATTAAGGTTAGATTCAGCTTCTCATGTAACCTATAGCTTGATTTACTATTCACTTTGGACAACCACATTCTGATTTTCTAATTTGCTCATGAGACTTTTTTTTTTTTTAAAGTTCCTTCCTCTCAAAACCAAAGTTAAAATCTCAAAACGCTTTTTCTTTTCAATGTATTTAATGTGTTTAATTTTTACGATTAAACATTGCATTAAGTTGAACTGGGCACTTGAAGAAGCTTGGAAAGAGAAACGTGAGAAAAGAAAACTCAAGACAGGACTGACTTTCTCTAAAGGGCACTTGCATTTGCTTGACTCTGTTGGATTTGGTGTCTTCTGTGGTTGCATGGTAAAGTTTTCTTTTTTCTTTTTTTTTAAACTGACATATAATTGACATGTTTTCATTAAAGAAACCGAAAAAGACTGGTAGTCCACTTTAGTCCAGCTAGAGTACTTCCACTCAGCATTTCATGGAGTAAGTTTGGTTTTATGACCTCCCCTATATCGTATAGGCTTCATAACTTTTTTGCTTTTGAGGGTGCTCTCAGTTTTCAAGAGGCTTTTGGTAAACTCAGTACAGAAAGAGTAGGGAAGAGTACAGAGGGTCAGAGGAACCATTTGTGATTCCAAGCATAGCCTAGGTTATAGGACTGTGTCATGCCCTAATTATATAGCATTACCTTACACCACGGTGGGGTGTGATAGGGTCAGAATTATCCTCTGATGTATTATCAGTGTCTTTTCTTAAATATTCAGTTACATGCTTCCAACCTTGGGATCATTGTTTTCTCTTCCACAATGTATTCTGGGGAAAGTTTCTGTAAGGCTGCATATTATTGATTGAAGACAAATAAATGTAATTATGTCCGAAGTGCAAAGTATTCTACTTGAGCTGCAAGAGACTTGAGGTTGAATAAGGTATAGCTTACGTTCTTCTTGAAAGTGACCATCTTGGGACTAAATTTTGGCCCACTCTCTTGACGAGATCCCCAGTGAGATCAGATCCTTACCCCTTCTACTTATCAACTCACCTTTTCTCTTCATCCCAGTCATTTTTGTTTTCTCCGTAAGAGAAAGCTGCCTCCTCGGAGTGTCGGTATTACCTACCTCATCAAAGCAAATAGAAACAGCTTTTGTACCGTTGACATTCTTATAAAACATAGTAAGTTCTAACATGGTTTTTGTTCATGATTATTTTTTCCTCTTTTCTGGAGATAAATATTCAGAACACTAGGTTTGTCTTCTAGAAAAACTCTATCTCTGGAGAACTAGGAATTGGTTCACTTTCTGGAGTCCCCCTTCTCCTCCTTACAGACAGCTGCCTACCGCTTCCTCGGCTGCGGGTCCTCCCGTTTCCAGCACTCTCTGGTCTTCCTCCCATTTTAGGATCCTCCTCCCTGTACGTCCGATAGTCCGTTGGCCTGACTTCTCTCTGTGTCTCTTCCGTCTTCCCTTTCCTTTCGCCTCTTTGGTTTTCTGATCCACGTAAACTTGTAAGTTGCTGTTAACCCCAGGTGTTTGTCTCTCCTCCTTGGGCAGTGTCCTCTGACACTTCAGGGTTTGGATTGACTTGAGTCCAGGTCTCTGTTAACGTCAAGTGCCGCCTTCTGTCCGTTCTGTGGAGGCTGAACCTAACCTCTTGAGGCACAGGATCGGGACTCTAAAGAATCTGTCTCGTCTCCCTCCTTCTCTTGCTTTGCCTCTTTCCACCCCAGTAGTACTGGAGTTAGTTAGAACAAGCCCACCGTCATGAGAGTGGACCAGTAAGCTTTCCACAGCACGTTCTTCCCATCCCCAGTTCAAGTATTTTGCGTATGGCATTTAGGAGGATTATCAAACAAAAAATGAAACAGATTAAGAAATGAACATAATCAATTCTCTTGAACTGTGGTTGCATAATGGAAATCGACTACCACGAATGGACCCGTGTACTGAAGTTACGAACAGCAGAGCCAATGCACTGCCATGAGTTCATCTTTATTATTGCATTACACCTGAATCAATTGATAAAGTAGCTTTTTTTTTTTTTAAGCAAGGGATGGCACTTAATTGAATAACAGCCAATGTAATTATATTAGCGGAGGCCAACAGTACTGCTGACAGCGGAAAAGGGACACTGTTGAACAGAGTGCCAGAGCTGGTCTACACATTTCTGCACATTGTTCGGTTGACAGGTATTGAGGGCTGGTACGTCATCTAATTAGATTACAGATTTCCATTGCTGTTAAGTGAGAAATGAAGAGAAACATCTCTTCCTGGTAACATAGCAGTGGAGATGTGCAATTTCACAAGTCATCTTCGGAAAGATGTGTCCGTCTGGGGGATCAGTGTGTCCCTTTTGTCGATGTTAATTTATTCTTCCTTATTCAGTGTGTCTTGATGCGACTGCTGTGTGTCTGGCTGTTGTTTTCTCAGCAGTGAATCTAGGTAACTGCAGATGTGTGAGAAGCAACGGAGTTCTAGATTAAAGTCATCGCAAAATGTGTGCTTGTGAAATTAAGAAGGGGAGGGGAGGGGAGGGAGGGTGTTAAAATAATACACAGAGGGGTAGGACTTCGTGAGCTGCTGTGGTTGGCAGATTGTTTTATCAGTAGATTGTTTGACAGTATGTACTGTCACTCTACTTCCACATTCCTGTAATAACTCTGGTGGTGTCATACCTACATGTCAGGGGAAAGACTTCACAGTAGGCATTTCCTACACTCCGCTTAGCAACCCGCACTTGGAGTCATCTGCCATCTGACACCAAGGAGACGGGGAGCGACTGTGTCAGAGCAGGGACCGTGGGGACCACTTCTGTTTATCATTCACAGATCCGCACACTGCATGCATCTGTGCAGAACTCATTTATGGATGATGATGATGCTGTGAATTTGGTTTATCTTAATTTGATTTATGACTTTTTGGATGATGCGGCTGATCTGAAAAATCATCAAGACACAGCATATGAGATGATCGCTTATGACAGAAAATGATTTTATGATCAGAACATTTTAAATCCCTATGTTATTGTTTAAGTTTTTTTTTTAAACCAGATGTCTAGAATGTGAATTTGTTTTCTCTCTCTCTCTCCTTCTCTCTTTTTTTCTCTGTCTCTCATTCTTGCTTTCTTTTGTGATCGATTTAGCAAAAGATTAGAAAGCTGATCTTATTATCACAAGGTAAGCTCAGCCTTCCTAAGTGCAGTGTGGAGAGGGCTGCCGCCCCTCTGCCCCTTCAAACCCGGAGTGCTGTATATTGTCTTGTGTGGAAAGGTGGAGAAGTGTTTCCCACCTTTCTTGTCTCTGAGGCACATACCTCTCAACCATCTCTAAGAGATATTAGCCATGCTTGTCACCAAATGGAGTGACTCGTCTCGGTCTTCCATACTTTTTAATTATAATCAGCTGGTCTGTTGAACTTGATGCTGGCCATTCTAGGTCATTTCTATTATCAATTTCGGTTATCACAATTACTCCTCTAAGATGTAGAGCTTCTGCCATTATCGAGAAGCTTTTATGTATCTGTATATTTATTTACTGGTTTACTTTTTGGAAGGGTAGCCTTCAATTTAGGTACGTGTCAAACGTGAGCCTTTGCAGGTGGAGAGAGGTATATGCCCAAGGGCACTTTAAAAATAAATGGGGGATATAAATACAAAGGCAATGTTTTCAGACAGATAATAACCTATCAGGCTTTGGTAAATCATGACATCCCTATGGATGCTCTGGGACAAATCCTTTTTTTTTTTTTTTTAATGCAAGCAAAGCATCCAGTGAGTAGAGTAAAAGTTTTGCTTGTCTAAGAAGTATGGACTCCAGTTGTTAAAATAGAGGGACCGTGTGTTATTATTGTGCTTGATTTTTTTTTTTTTTTTTTTTTTTTGTATTTATTGTGTGTGGGGTTTTTTTCTTTTTTGGTCCCTTTGGGTTTTTTTCTGTTGTTGAGTGTGATTTTTTTTAAAGGGTGGGTGGGTTTTATTTAAAAAGTCAACTTCTGTTTTTCAGGGGTTTTTTTTTTTAAGAATTAAATTTTAAAACTTAAATTACTTGAAAACATTTTCAACTCTACAATGTAGCAGCTTCTGAAAATAAATGTATTTTACTATTAGATTTAGCTGAGATCCCATTCTGCAAAAAGGGATTTATGTTTAAAGACAGTCTGTAACCCTGTTTCAAATTGCTAACCTTTTAAGCTTATTGTTTTTCCTACCTAAAACTTGCAGTGTAGGAAGGTGAGGGGGAACGAGTCATTATTTTGTCAAGTGAACCCTAAATTATCTAGACCGTTTACTTTTTTAAAAAAAGGATCCTTTTTATGCCTCTAAAGGTGTTTGCTGTAGGAAAAAAAGGCTTTCTTTTTGTTTTTAGGTAAATTCAAATTGTTCAGTGTAGACAAGCAGAACGTTTCCACCCCTTTATCCTATAGTTAATGTATGTTTTCAAATCTCTGCTGTGAGATTCTCTGCGGCTGATGCTGCTACAGTGTAAAACGAACAGAACAATCATTCAGGAAAAGGTGCGTGGGTTTGCATTCATCCCACCACTGAGGAATTTTACTCTCTTATAAAAATTATGTTAATGAAAAGCTCCCCTTATTGCACTCCCCACCACCACTTATTCCCAAATTCTGAGGATGTGGGGAAATGTTTGCTTTTACAGGGGTGTCATTAGCCATGAATGTGCTTATGTGGTACCTAGTGGAAGCTGAATCAATTTTAAAATGCTCTCCTTTTTCTCACCCTCCCCACTCCCTGTACACCTACCCCCCCTTCCCTCTTGTTTTCCTAGACACAGTGCCAACATCAATCTCCATCGTAAACTGTTGACCAAAGAACTCGATGACATGGGCCTGGACTCATCGCAGCCCTCCCTTAGCAAGGACCTCCGGGATGAATTTTTGATGAAGATCTATGGTGCCCAGCACCCCTTGGGGCTCGACGTCAGGGAAGACGCCTCCTCTCCCGCGGGGACAGAAGACTCCCACCTGAACGGGTACGGGAGGGGCATGGCGGAGGACTACATGGTCCTGGACCTGAGCACCACCTCCAGCCTCCAGTCCAGCAGCAGCATCCATTCCTCCAGAGAATCCGACGCAGGCAGCGACGAGGGGATCCTCCTGGATGACATCGACGGGGCGAGTGACAGTGGGGAGTCGGCGCACAAGGCCGAGGTCCCCACCCTCGCTGGCAGCCTCGGGGCTGACGTTTCAGGATCTCTGATGTTCAACAGCTTGTCCGGGAGCAATGGTGGGATCATGTGCAACATCTGCCACAAGATGTACAGCAACAAGGGGACCCTGCGAGTGCACTACAAAACCGTGCATTTGCGAGAAATGCACAAGTGCAAAGTCCCCGGTTGCAATATGATGTTCTCCTCTGTGCGAAGCCGGAATCGGCACAGTCAGAACCCTAATCTCCACAAAAACATTCCCTTCACTTCGGTAGATTAGTCTCAGAAAGGACACTACAAATGCCAGCTCTCACCAGATGGCCTACGTATTTGAACTGCCATAGTCAGTGTGTGCTTGTGTACTTGGGATGGTGTGTGTGTATATGTGTGTGCGTATACACACGTATGCCTCTGTGTCTACATATACACACACACACACACACACACACACACGTTTCCTTTTCTTTAGATACAAAAAGATAAACACTAGGTGCTTTTGAAGTTTTTTTCTCTTTTTCCTTTATAGGTCGGATCTTTCATTTGGGGGTGAAAACAAAGTACCCTTTAAACACGTATACACACATCCACACATAAAAGCGTGCAACTAGCCCAAATTTTGACAGAATAATAATTCCTGGTCCTCTCCAAAGAGACAATTTGTTGTACCCATGACTGTTGCCTGCAAAAAAAAATAAAAGGGAGGAACAAAAAGAAACAAAAAAGGAACTCCTTATAGTTGTCTTTTGTGAACTTTGAGGTTTTGAGAGAATCTTCAATTAAAGCATGGCAGATTCACCTGTAAATATTTAGCCTTGAGAGGCCAATGATGTAAAACAGTTGTATTGATGGTTGTTTATTAACTCTTTTGTTTAATTTTTTACAGTTACATCAGCTGTTAGGTATACAGGAAAAAAAAATAGTTTGCTGGCTAGCTCTATTCATTTATGTTAGCATTAATGCACATTTTTTAAGGAAAAAAAAAAACATGGTCTTGTTTTTACTACCTGCTAGATATAGTGATAAAGAGGTGCTGGCATGCCTTACAGCACAGATCTGATTTTTTAAAATGTCCTGTACTAGTACATAAATCCAGTCATGCACTTTTTTTCATACACTACAAGGGGATGTGTAATATCCATGCTTCTTTTTTATCCTTAAACTATTGCCATACTTCGAGTAAGTGTCTTTTTAAAAAAATTCACTTGTATAAAAATGGTCTGGTCAGTATAGGGCACAAATGCCAAACAAAAGTATTAGTGTTAACACAAAACTGCCAACTTTGCACAAGTTTCCAGAAAAGAAAATACAATTAGTCACTCAACATAACCACAGGCCAATTTGTCGGCCACCAGAAAACCGCTTTAGAAAAAAACACTTGGTGATTCAAGTGCCGAATGTTATTACAATCAACACTGCAACCTTCTTGCTTATATGTTAAGTTACATAAAAGGAAAACAAAATTATGTGGTGTGAAACAGCTAAGGCATTTATTCTTTAGAGGCTGGATAATATTTCAGGATACAAAAGCCCAAATTACTCACTATGGAACAAAGCTGAATCCAGTAAGAGTTGAGCACTCATTCGCAAGGACCTAACCCTTAATCCTTTAAAAAGACAAAGTCTGAACTGGGTTGGTCTGTTGTGTGGCTATGTAATTCACTGCACGTTCTGCAGTAGTACTCCGACTCGGGCTGGTTTGCGAGACAAAATCAAAGACCTTTAAGAGCGGCAGCAGCAGTACTTGGAAGCTTTGCAAACATGTGCTGAACTTGAACTAAGCAACACTCCTTTCTGAAAAGCCAGAAGAAGGGGGTTTAAAATAGGATCTCTCACTGTTTAGTGTTTTGTGTTTCCCCACACGATTTGTCAGAGAGAAATGAAAGCAAGCCTGAAACCAAGCAATCGAGAGTGAGAAAGAGGAGGGGAGAGGATTCTGCAAACCTCTTTTGTTGTGTTTTGTTTTGTTTGCGATGTTTACAGATGTTGCCTGAGCTGGTTTACCACATCAGCAGCCTCAGCTACCACAACATACTGACTAAATGATGATATTTACTCAAGGTCAGTCTGCAGCCAAAACCATTAGGGTGTGAGCTGCAGACTGTTTTGTTGTCTTTTTTTTTTTTTTTAAGTGGAGGGGGGGAAGAAAAAGAGATAAACAAGGAATATTTTGTCAAACAGTACACGGTAATTTAAAGAGAATGTATTTCTTTTCTGCATTTAAGGGCCTCAAACATTTCTCTCAGCAGTCTAAAAGTTAGAAATACCCCCTTTGTCTTAACTTTTAATGTTATTTCCATTTTTCATATGTTTTGTGATTTTTTTCTAGGTTCACATCAGCATTCACTTCCGTTAAATTTGCCAAAGGAAACTGTTAATATGTTTCTCTTTTTATTATTCCTGTAGGATTTATCGTACCTCACAGTATTTATTGTTTCCAAAAATAAGCATCATTAGTTGAGGATTCAGTATTTTTCTTTGTGAAAATTTCACAAATGATAGATTCTTAAAGATAAGCTAGATGTGTCTAGGGGCTTTATCTTTTCATCTCCTTCAGAGCATGCTATGGGGTTCATTTAATTCTTCATTTGTTCTACAGTGAGGAGAGACCAAAAGTATTTGCAGTACAAAAGAAATTATATCAGACACTATGTCTGTTAAATGACAAATGTTTACGGTGAAAAAAGCTGAGGAATTAGTGCTAACCATTTTTGTTTTCTTGTACCTTTGAATTCCCCAAAGTCTTAATTGCTTTATTTTGGTGTTGTGTTAAACTGAATAGACAGAGATGTTTTCCTTTGTTTGTTTTATACCATATAAGACTCTGTACAGTATGTTTGTGAAAGACTGAACTAGAATAATGAAAGTTTGTTTGCAAACATTTTGGTTCTCTTAGCGTTCTCTGTGTTGCTGCTGTTGCCCTATTATCCAAATGATTCGATTCCAGAAGAGTGGGAAAAAAAATATTTTTGGTATCCCAACAAAAGATTATGGAAACACTAGCTTTGGGAGTGTGCGTAGACTAAATGACACTTCGTTTTATGAAAATAACAAAATTTCAGCCATTTTTAACAGTTACACTCTAGGTTGAAATATTAGAACTCATCTTGTACAAAAATCAGTGTTTACTCTGTTTAATTTAATGTCAACTAAAAGGTCAAAGAGCCCTAATGAGTGAATTACATAGCTGTCAGCAGGTCACAGCAAACGAACCAGGCTTAGAACAAATGTTTGTTACTTGCCGCAAACCAGGCTAGTGTGGATAGCCAGTTAGGACAAGCCCAGAAGTGACAAGATTCTCAAGGTAGAATTTCCCTTGCTCAGAGCATGAATGTGTTCACCTGCCTTTTGTTGGAGAAATGGCAGGGAGTCCTGGACAACTTGCCCTTTTGGAGTCTCTCCCCTTTGCTACTATTGTGCCTCAGGTGCCCACATGTTATGGTGGCCTTCTAAGTGGGTGTATAACATTTTCCAATTTAAAGCCTATTTGCTTAAAAGGGACAGGGGGAGTGGACGGAAGTGGTCCATAAGATGGAGAATCATGAAATGTACATTTCTTTTAGTCCCCCAGTGTTGCTTGTTCTTGGGTGTGTGCCTGAGTGCATTGTTTGGACTTAACTCTAAATCTAGTTAAGAGGGTGATCTCAAGGCTTATTTGTAAACGGGAAGGATAAAGAGATCAGCATTTTAACCACTGAGCCCTTCATCTTTGCCCACTCATACTCATTTCTTTTTTCATAGGAGTTTCCTATTGTGAAACAGGTTCTGTTCAGCTGCATCCATTCTATGCCAGCTGAAAAAGGAATAGGGATGCAGCTTTTTTATCCAAGCAGCCTTTTCCCATTTGATTGATTTTAACCAGCATTTTGTCACAGGTACAAAATTGGGCAGTATTATTGACATGCATGTTTGCTAGGTGGTGTTGAAATGTACTGTTTTGATCATTTTAAACTGTGTGTTTGTAAATATCAGAAAGGCTTAGTCTGCTTTAGGGAGTATCTGTGTGTTATGGAGGGGGACGACACAGAGCAAGAATAGAAAATTTGGTTTTAAAAATGTGATAAAAAGCGGGACATTCTTTGTTCTGCTATTAATTGTACTGAAATAAGTCAATGCATTTCAGATCTTAGTCCGGCCGCCCAGTTCAGCCTGATGCCTTTTAAAGGTTTCAGGGTGTTAATGTTTTCCTTCTCAAGGTGACAAACATCTTTTGAAATTGTTTTTAGCACAATGGCGCCACTGTCCTCGTAGTGTAATTTCTTTGGTCGTGAATTTCCAGGCCCTTCCAGTAAGAGGAGAAAGGCACTTAAGTGGTCAATAGCCTGTTAGTATATACATTGCTCTTAAAAAAAAAAAAGCAAGCTTTGAATATATCAAGAATGGGCTGGCTCTTCCAGAGGCATTCTCCTCATTTTACTCAGGGGAAACCATGCGCTGGGTTCCCACCAAATAAAAAGTGACCTTTTGTTCCCCTTCCTCTGTACACACCCCTGACGTGTGCCAAGCAAATGAGAAAGGGGGCCCTTGGCAATTAAAACAGAAAGAGGCCAGTGATCAGATTGAGACGGACATGCTGCTAACTGCCAACAGTTGACCTGAGCAGTCCTAACTTGCACTTGGTCTTTAGCGTTGGGTTAGATTGACTAACAGAGTGAGTAAAGTTCAGCCCTCGTAAGACACGCTCCATCTGCTGTCATCAGAAACAGATCATCCAGAAGAAACCTTTGATCCTGTGGACACACTCCTTTTCTTGAACTTTTCAAAATTAGGACAAATTTCAGGGTTTTTAAAAATCACTTATATTCCCCCAAACTTGGAATATTTAGAGGATTTTGCTTTTCCCTCTCATTCTTTGTCTAATGGGAGGGGTCTAAAGGAGTACGGAGGGCAATAAAAGGCAGGTGCCAAAGAGACTGGAGGGAATCACAGTTCTTTAAAGCAGAGTGAGGGATATTAAGTAGAGGATTCGTACCTGCCCTGGCTTGAAGGTAACCAGAAAAGAAAATAGCGAAGGCACTGAAACGGTCACGAGAAAAGTCTGGCGCAGCTCAGCCTAGCAGCCAGTGACAGCACATCGATGCAGTGCCCCCCCAGAGCGCCCCATGACCAGGTGCGTCACTGAACCCCAGTCTGAGGAGGGAGGGAGGAAGAAAGGAAGGCTGCTGCCTGGAAGAGCTCAAGTCCCTTTCGGATCACGGGAGCCAACTAGGGCAGCTGTGGAGGGGCTGTTCTTTTTTTCTTTTCTTTCTTTTTTTTTTTGGAGTGGAAAGTGATGCTAGAGTCCCTTAGGGAACAAAAAGATCCATTGGGTCAACTAGGTCCTAGAAAAGTCCAATGGTCAAACCAAGCTCTAGTTGTGACAAGTGGAGTTGAAGGGCGTGGTAGCCAGCACGGATCTGTTCTTTCTCCATCATTTCTGTGGCTTTTTGCCCCCGTAGCCGTGCTAGTGATGCTATGTGGCTAAAAATCTCTTGATCAGAATGTGAGCTCATTCACCTTTCTACGAAGCATAAAAGTAACTTTTCTGTTTTCATATTTTCCCTCCAAGCTGAACTGTGTGTGGTAGGTAGCCTTGCTTATGTTAGCATTAAGGCCGTATCTGCTCTGTCCTAAACGTATTTCCCTATTTCCTATAGTTGGAGAGTTGCTCACTGTAAACATTAATTTTCCGTTAGTATTATGTAAATCCAGCTGTAAAACTGACTAGTGAATTAATCTAACATCACTCTTGCCCAGACACCCATCCTTTCCTGTGTCCTCCCATCATCCTCATTCTTCCCACATTTTGCACAAAAATGATGTTTATGGTCATTCGGCAATAACTGGACATCAAATAGTGTCTTTTTGGCATTTGTTGAAAAATCCAAATGCCTAATCACAGGGGGGTTAAAAAAAAACCTAAGCATTTTTACAAGTACCCTGAATTGGATCAGCATTATTGTTCATTGTAATGCTATATATTTTTTGAAGTAACGTACTATAGTTGTCATAAAACTATCTTTATTCTCCTCTGAAGTGTTGTAAATTCATTTGACCTTTACTGCAAAGAAAAAAACTTTTCTATATAGTGTATCAAGACAAGGCTCAGTTTGTAACAAATAGTGGAGGGTTACAAAAGAGGAAGGGAAATAGCCAGGCTGAGCATCGAGAAGCTTCAGTTCAATTTCACCTCATATCTTTCTAATAACTTACTTGTCACTTTATTACCTTCCAGTAATGTGAAAGCTGCTGACAAGACTGTCACACTAACAGCAGACAACACCCTCTCTGCTTCAGCTCCAGGTCTCCTGGCTACTTATTGCCCTGGCCCTGAAGGGACACAAACTAATAGTGTGCTTTCCAGTTCAGCACTTGGCCATCAAATATAAAAGGATGCGTAATTGCCTGTTTATCCCTTGTGAAGGGGAAATTGAGTACAAGGGCTAGGCTTTCCCACTGAGTTCCCTGATGTACACACATTCACAATCTGTCTGTCTCTCTCTCTCCACCCCCCCTTCTCCTCCCAGCACATGAGCCCGTACACACAACCCACTAAACTGTATCTCTGGTAAGCCCAAAGCTGCCTCAAGGTGCCCTCTCCAGCTATTAAGTGGACAGTAACAAGACTACTTCTTAAGGGTCAGTAGAGAGATGCTGACTTTGATGGCATTCTTTGAGTCTTTGGAAACTTAAGTATTGCAATTCCAAGCCCATGCATTTTGGGAGTACTGGGTGTGGCCCTATAATGAGAGCACAGTTTCTGCAAGTCAGTGACAAAAGTGGTATTAGATCGCCCCATATTCTGTAAGGAAAGCATTAAAATGTTTTTCCTCCCCTTCAAAAAGTGCACGTGTTGTAACATTGGTTGTGCGTGATGGTAAAAAAAAAAAAAATTTTTTTTTTCTTTTTTAGTTTTGACGCCCGACTGTTAGTCTAAATGAACACGTGTCTTGCCATGAGAACCTCCAAATCCATAGTGTAACAAGACAAATTCACCTTTGTTTTGTTTAATTGGACTGACAATCTGAAAAAAATAATAAGGCACCGGGCCTTTGACTTGAATCACTAAAACAGAGACCACCCTATACGTAAAAGTAAATTCTCCGCTTTGGGACAATTTTGGTAAGTACAAGCGCATGAGCTTTACGAAATCAAGTGACTAGGGGACAAAAGGTACAAAGGAAGATCACGTGAAAGTGTTATCTTCCCAAACATCTTGAGCCTGAACAGCATGTAGGTATTGGCTGCTATTTTTGTATATTAAACTACTTAAAGGATGGTAAAAGGTGGCTAGTTGGTGGCTAAATGAAGTGCAAGATCTCTGTGTGCATCTTCCTTGGGGAGCTAGGGGACTCCACGCTTCCTTCTAACCCTCCAGCAGCAGGTCTGTTAGAAGCTGATGACCCGCCCCACAACCCCGCTTTGAACAGTCACATTTCAAATCTATTTGTCAACCCAATAAGATACAGGTGGTTGTCATCTTTGATACGAACTTACGCAGAGAAAAGTGGCAGATTTAGGGACAGACGACTTACCAGGTCTGTGTTGACAAACCCGTGCTAAAATAATTGCATTAACCACTTAGGACTGGGAAGAAAAGCACTTTGAGTAAAGGATTCTTGGGGTCAGAGAAAAAGCAGTTGATGTTTTTTTAAATTCCCCCAGCATGTATGTATTACAATCATTTAGCAAACATCTTAAGAGAATCTTAATTAAAAATTCAGCTGGCAAAATTGCACAGATTCTGCTAACTAATATGAGCTCCCCCCACCCTTTAAATAACAGGGATGCTGAAGGACACTCCTAATTATTTTAATGTGTTTCTAGCTTCCTTTTTTTTTAAAGACTGTTTGAAGGGAAGGAAGAGCAGAAAGAGGTATTTTAACAAGAATGGAGAGAA